ATTGATTTTCAGCCCCCAAGTGACTGTGTATGGTACAATATAAATTAGACTCTTTTAGGCGCCAGGAGTGAATGAAGTATCTAAAATATTTTTAAAAAAAACTATAAAAAAATGCCGAAAAAACGCCGGGCGATTTCATGGTCCGTTGCAGACTACTCGACCGACCGTCCATACACGTGTTGTCACTGCACATCGGCCATGTTGAATCGCACGAGATCGACAAAATCTTCATTACAACTAAAAGTTTAATGCTCACAACATAAAAATACGAATATAATCATAGGCAACCTACTATTATAAAATGAATAAGTTGATCGACACAGGGACATCCCCCCCCCCCCGAGTTGTGGATATTTCGGAAATCGCGACACAAGCAAAAGACCGGATAACGATTTTACTTGAAACTATGTCCCCATGAATTAATCGTCCGTGTACAATAATTTGACAGGGTATACAATTTACAAACTAGTTTCGTAGATTGGAGACAATTGTTTGCTTTTTTGGCACGTACGTCACGGAATGTACACCAATCGCACCCCAAAATACATTCAATTTTGTAGAAACTGGAGAACTTACCTTTCAAACACGTCTCTTATGCCGTCTTCTTGAAGTTCTTGAAATCAAATAAGGTTACTAGTTCTTCTAGTAACTAGTGAATGAGACCACTGAGCCGAACAGAATACATGTATAAACAGTACTATAATAAATTGCACGCAATGGAGAAATCACGCGCTAGCGTTACTCGCAGATCTAATCTACTGTAAAATATTTTATTTCAGCTGGAATTATCATTCGCTGAAAAGACTTTTTCTGGCTGTTTTTTGTATTGAATTTATTTTCATTGATTTTTGACAAGTTTGACTGTAAAATATAGGAAAAAGGGAATATTCGCTGGATTTTATTTTAACTGAAACATTCCTTCAGCGAAAATAGCAAAAAAATGTTGCAAGCAAAAATAAAGTATTTTACAGTAATTAATTTATTCTGAGCATGCGCATGTTGCCGGGAGAGGTAATTTTTGATAAAAATCGTGAAAAAGACCCACTTGGGATTTTCAGATCTGGAAAAAAAATTACCTGCATACTCGGAATACACTTGTTCATCAACCTGCTAAGTTTCACTGATACCTGCTGTAGAATTTCTGAGAAAATGTTGGAGACGGAAACCGGACAAAACCTGAATTATAACTCCTCTTTTCAGGCTGCGCCTGAACGGGGACTAAAAACACCAAGATTAGAACATCAAAATACACACAAAATAAACCCACAGGTACACAGCCGCTAAGTAGTAAACAAAAGACCACATGTTGGTCTCACCTCTGACCCAGGCGATTACGCCCTCAAACAGGGAGCACCTGAGAAAAAAAATATTTAAAAAATTTCATTGGTTCTTGCTAGGCATTTAAATTGCTACGAGCAGCCATTGGTTGATTAGTGGCATGAGACCTTTCATGATCTTCTATATTTGAATATATTTGGTGACTTTTTAATGACTTGAATTGTTGCAGATAATTCTACAATACAAGGGTCGCGTATCAGGTTTTCCATCGTTTTTCTACTACAGGTTTCCAAAAGTCAACCACATGGGGCAATTGTTCCAACAAATATAACAAGTTTGCAATCGCTTTACATAGATGTGTCATGGTGGCCTATAATCATCTAACACTGATCTTTTGTTATGGAAAAGACAAGATTTAAAATGTACCACAAATACATATGGTTGGAGTTCATTTAGCAATTGTGCCCTTTTGTGGAATGAACTTCCACTCTCCATTGGTCAGTCAATTAATATCAATGTTTTTAAAAGAAATCTGAAAACTCATTTGTTTAGAAGACAGTTCTTCATTCTATTTCTCATTAACATATTTATAACCTCGGTGTTGTTGTAAAAATGTGTATATCCAGAGTATGTAATAAGAATATAAAATGGTGGTATTGAACATGTGTATCTCGTATTTTAAAGAATGCACACAACACTCATAAAGGTGCCGGTAAAATTGTGTATGTATCACCTAAATGTGGTACATACACAGTATAATACATTGTTCTCTTCTCAATGAGAGATAATTGATTGAAGTAGAAAGGTTCTAAGCTGTCTAGTAGAATATCAATTAGTATGTATATATAGTTTTAATACATATTTTTACACTTAGAAGGAGGAAGGGTCACAATTTTCCATGCACCATTCAAGAGGGAGATTAGCAAATTGCATGCAAATGTTTATGAAGGATCATATATTTTATGTACGCGACTTTCAAAAATCACTGGCCTATCCCCCTGTACTTTTTGACCAGTCCCTAACTAACCAAGTCCTTATTATCAATAGTTGTGTCAGATCGGGCGAGACTAGGTACAGTATATTATAGTGAGACTTTTTCGTTCTTGTGTATACTGGGAAGATTCCGGTTTCTTTGGGTTGACATCTGTGACGATCGTCCTCATCCATGGTGCAGCAAATAATCTATTCGTTTTCCTCCGGTTTTAAGGTAGCCACTCACTTTCGTAAGCCTTCCGTTTTAACTTCATTTTTTCTGGCTAACATTAACACTCTTTGTGGAGAGTTTGAATTTATATCATTAGATATGCTTTCAAAATTGCAACTACTTAGTGTGTGTGAATGTTTGACGTTTGACATGTGCAGCTGAATGTTTATTTCACAATTTGTGTTTAGGTTATTCTTTTATTTATTTATTTTTCAAAACACGTATTTCCCCAAATAATGTTTTTGAAAAGCGCAGACACATTCCTTTGCGTGTGGTTCATTTAAACAAGATGTTAAAATTTCAAACAAATCGGCTCACCAACTTTTTATTCACCATGGTTCAAAGTTAGTTGAAGTGGTTGAAAATGAAATTGGAGAAAACATCAGTAACGAACGCTTTTAACGTCACAAAGTTATTGAAAATAATGATTTTGAAAAAGTCGTTTATATTATTCGCGATTTACCCTTACAGTTCTTTTTGTAAGGAAATTCAGTTTTAAATTGCTCAAATCGAGGGAAATAACAAAAAATCGGAAATATTCTATTATAGCTACCATTTTTAATATTTTATAAATACGCCCGTGTTGTTTTAAAGGATAATCTACAGTAACACTTGACTGATTGGTGCACTCTTAAGATGCGACATGACTGTCAAGGCGGAATCTTCATTTTTTTCTTTTTTTCTGAGAACAAAACAGTAGTCTAGTCAAGTTATGGCAGAGAGTTAAAAAAATATGGACAGAAGCTTTTGTAGTGTATTATCTTTTCTACTTAACATCATAATAAAAAAGAAAAAAATCGAAGTATATATTCTTATATAGCCCATGGGCTACACAGAGTCACCGTTCACCTATACTGCTGAGAAAGTTTGTAATTTGTAGATTATCTATGATGCCCTTTAATGGGAAAATAATGTTAATATTAAAAAATGAGATGATCATAGCTACTTTGCATATTTAGGCAAATGACGAATTTGTCTGATTTGATATATATTTATATACCCTTGTGTGATGTAGCACATGAAATATATTTTAATGTATATTTCAATTAGCCATTAAAATTATATAGCATTTTAGATGTGATTATTTTGTATCTATTTGTGCTACACAAGGTTACAATCTTGATAGGAAAAAATATGAATATATTATAATTGTGGATATATTCGTATTAATCAACCTGCTTAAACATATTGTGCAATATAACAAAAAAGATACCTTTCATGTCTGCCATGGCCTTGATGATGTCTTCTTCGGGACCTGGGTTTAATTCGACGTCACCGGCACACTGTAGAAAACGTGCTGTTCAACATCTTTGCGAATGCCTAACACAGTTCTGAGTTCATTTGAAATTCTAATGTCATTTCATTAATGAATACACTTGTTGCATAATGCCAACTCACACAATAGAATGGCTTTAAGTTCAAAGGCAAACTTATGTACTCGTAACATATTTTGTCCGAACTTCGGGTGTCGATTTTACCAGTAATTTCTAGATAATAGATGATATGAGGCAAACTTTTCTACCAATGCAAACCCTCTACCAATAGTGATAATACCAACAAATAGGCAATATACCAATCTGTACATCAAATCGTTCGTTGGTGTTCATCTTGTATGTGGCGTGTGGATTTTTTGGTTGGAAAAACGACCCGACAGCAGCTCTCCATGCCACAATTTCGATGCCCGTTTATACTGTAGTTGAACTAGGTATAACACTTAGTTTATATTAACGGAATACTCACACGGAAGAAACTTTCAGCATTTTTTTTTGCAGAGCTCGATCCAAACCGAAGTTACTACTACCGTAGTCACGTGACAATCAATACTTTAAGCTACTTTAAGCTTGGACATTGATCAAGGTTGTCATGTAATTAGGAAAATTTGTTGTTTTTTAATTCCTTGTTCATAAATCACTAGAAATGTAAATAATTTAGAATATGCTGAACACAGGCATAAATCAAATTATTTTATGCGAATTAGATTCTAAAAATAGTATTGAAATATACTTATTAAAACTATTATGTAGTCTCAGAATCTCTGGGTATAACGCGTACAATTGTGTATTTTAATTTATTTATTTAATCTTGTTTAATTTATTGTGTACATAGAGGTAGATGTGTGCATTGTACAAGATCACAGACTATGTTACTCATATAACCTAGGATGACAATAAATATGTATATGCTTGAGTTATTAGATCTTAGATCAATTTAAAATGAAAATACATGAGAACTTAACCTGGAAATACATAATTGGATGCGTACCTAGAGAAATCACTAAATACAGTAGGTGTGTCTTGATTTCCAATTTTTGAGCCATGTTTTCAACTTTGGTTATCATTTTCATATAGCAATCTCGTCATATGTTTAACATTGTCGTTTATGAAGTTTCTGAGCCTTGCATGGAGTTTTCGGTTTCGTGTCAGTCGCCCTCTAGCGTCAAAGTTGCGGGGTTTGTCAAGTCGGTCTGCGCATGCGTTATGACATCTGCAGTGTCAAGTAAAATCACGTGTGAGTTTGTATTGTATTGGTATCCCATTAGCTTTTGACATTTTCAGCAAAATGCCTCGACTTTTAGAGAGTTGTGAACAATTGTTTGGTACTAGTGATTTATACAAGATTTTAGGGGTGGAAAAACAATCAACCGAAAGGCAGGGTGAGTATTTGAAGTTCGTTCTATCCATCGCTCAAATCAGTGTTGATATTTTTGAGCGCGTAGCGTGAGAAAATCTGTCAATACTATGAGGTTATTACGAGGATACCTCATATATGAACGAAGAAATACACATGCACATTTATCCATGATCTTCACTCTAATAGAATCCCTCGTAATGTGTGTGACTATTTCTTTTTCCCAGAACACAACTATAACACTAGATTTTCAACTAATTTCTCTCTTCCTAGAAAACAAACTAGCTTGGGACAATCACCTATTGACTACCAGGGAATTATACTTTGGAATAACTTTCCGTCATATTTAAAAACAATCACAATCGTGCCTGTTTCAAAAAAGTTTAAAAAAAATATTTTTATAACTGTACGAATGCATGATTTCTGATAGATTATTGAAAGTTTTATTATTATTATTATTATTATTATCTTACATATTTTCATAATTTACTTGTATTTATTACTATATTTAATGATTTCCCTGTAATACTTACAATCTATGGCGAATAAATATTATTATTATTAAGACAGTACAGTGGGAATATCGAGCGATGAGCAGTGGAGGTTGATGCAAAAGCATACTGTCTTATTATACATCTTTTCCTTCCAAGGATACATCATGTGAATGCCAAATCCAAAAGTTTAGAACAGAATCAGCAAACTTCTTTGTGTGGAGTCCAGTCAAATCCTGGTAGCAGCCATGTTTGTTTTTATTATTAGAGGACGCTTACGTACGTATTCATTCCATATTTGGAATTCACATTTCCTAATATGGTAGGATGAATATACCCCGTAAAATACTGCAAAATTACGGCATGCTGTAACTTATGGCGTTACGATGACAGATGAACAATAATACATATTATTGTCGTTGTGAATGACCTCTGCACCAGAAAAGTGAGGAGGGGTATCTGTACTTACCTGGAAAAGTGATGTGGATATGCCACCAATATCTCTGATCCCTTACCTATTTCCTAGTCAACCAATAATACCAGAACATTTTGTTAAAATAACTATGGTTCTATTTGACACCAGTGATGAATTACATGAGCTACCAAGGATAGAAACTTTAAGGTGTTACACTAGTACTATAGCTTGGTACAATTACAAATGCCATTCAGAACTTACCTGCTTCACCAAAGAGGTAGTAAATATATATGCAACATACATTTGGTCATTTTTATGCCAAAATTATATTTTTTTATGGCTTGATTGATTCTTTTAAAGGTAGATTGATACTTTGTTGTTGTCATTCAATGGCACTGTGTTATTGTTGGTTCAGTTTCTTAGATACAAAATTTCGGTAACTGTGAAATATTGAAGTAATCTATGATAAAAACGTGGAGTAACTTAAGAAAACTTGACAGCAAACTTGAAAAACATAACGTTTGGCGTTATGTTTGCACTTTTGTTTATGTGTTAAAGTATTTTCTCAATTTTTCACAACTGTGGATATGATGTCACCCACAATTCTTTGCTGGAAAATCAATTTGGCGAACTACATAATATTGGTGAAAAATCAAATATCTAGAGAAAGATTGTAAAATAGCATTCTCCTACATTTGTGAAGCTCTTTCCTTGGGGAGCTTTATGTTGTTTGGCTTAACTTTAACTGTGAACTTTGACCATGTTGCCTCATTTTTTGAATCAGATGCATGTAATCAGCCAAATTTTAGTTCTCAAACTCAAAATACAGCATTGGGTTTGAATCAAGGTTTGTATCCACGCATATCTTAGCTTTTGTTAATTTGCTTATCAGCCAGTTACTCTTGTTGTCTGGTTGCAATTGTTTACATCGCTGTTCAAACGACATAACAATGCTAATTATGATAATTCTCATTGTCAGATACATGTACCTTTTCCCAAACTGGTAACTGAGACCCAATGCTAGATGTATTAGTTATTTTGTGTAACCAAACAGCTAGGTCATAACTCTGAATTTCCATGCATGAATCACAACTAAATTATTGACTATTCACAGCTACGTTAAATATTCATGG